TGTGTTTCGGTAACGAAACACCGAATCTCAGGGGGATATAACATTAGGATTTAACTAAGTGAATCCCGAAAATCCCGAAGTGCGTTTCGCTAGCGAAACACCGAATCTTAGGGGGATATAACATTGGAATTTAACAAAGTAATCTCGAAAATCCCGAAGTGTGTTTCGGTAACGAACACCGAATCTTATAGAGATATAACATCGTAATACAACTAAGTAAATCCCGAAAACCCGAAAGTGTGTTTTGGTAACGAAATACTGAATTTGTGGGGGGTCTGATAGTGAGATACAACTAAGGAAACCCAGAAAATCCCGAAGTGTGTTTCGGTAATGAAACACCGAATCTTAGGGGGATATAACATTAGGATTTAACTAAGTGAATCTCGAAAATCCCGAAGTGCGTTTCGCTAGCGAAACACCGAATCTTAGGGGAATATAACATTGGAATTTAACAAAGTGAATCTCGAAAATCCAGAAGTGTGTTTCGGTAACGAAACACCGAATCTTAGGGGGATATAACATCGGAATAGAACTAAGTAAACGCCGAAAACCCCGAAGTGTGTTTCGGTAACGAAACACTGAATTTGTGGGGGGTCTAATAGTGGGATAAAACTAAAGAAACCCCGAAAATCCCGAAGTGTGTTTCGGTAACGAAACACTAAATCTCAGGGGGATATAACATTAGGATTTAACTAAGTGAATCACGAAAATCCGGAAGTGCATTTCACCAGCGAACACCGAATCTTAGGGGGATATAACATTTGAATTTAATAAAGTGAATCCCGAAAATCCCGAAGTGTGTTCAGGTAACGAAACACCGAATCTTATGGGGATATAACATCAGAATACAACTAACTAAATCCCCAAAACCCCAAAGTATGTTTCGGGAACGAAACACTGAATTTGTGGGGGGTCGAACAGTGGGATACAGCTAAGAAAAACCCCGAAAATCCCAAAGTGTGTTTTGATGACGAAACACCGAATCTTAGGGGGATATAACATTAGGATTTAACTAAGTGAATCCCGAAAATCCTGAAGTGCGTTTCGCTAGTGAAACACCGAATCTTAGGGGGATGTAACATTGGAATTCAACAAAGTGAATCCCAAAAATCCCGAAGTGTGTTTTGGTAACAAAACACCGAATCTTAGGGGGATATAAAATCGAAATACAACTAGGCAAATCTCGAAAATCCCGAACTTGTTTCGGTAACGAAACACTGAATTTGTGGGGGGTCTAACAATGGGATACAGCTAAGGAAACCCCGAAAATCCCGAAGTGTGTTTTGGTGACGAAACACCGAATCGTAGGGGGATATAAAATTAGGATTTAACTAAGTGAATCTCGAAAATCCCGAAGTGCGTTTCGCTAGCGAAACACTGAGCGGTGACGATTGTGCTGAACGGTGGCGATTGTGCTGTTGGATATAATTTCGAGAAACGGCTACGTAAAATTTCGAAATTCTGAAGCACGATTTCGGTATCAAAATCCCGAACGCACATGCGGATATAACTTCGAGAAATGATTAAGTTAAATCCTGAAATCCCGAAGTGCGATTTCGGTAGCGAAATCCCGAACTCACGTGCGAATATAACTTCGAGAAAGGGCTAAATAAAATCCCGAAATCCTGAAGTGTGATTTCGGTAGCGAAATCCCGACGCACGTGCGGATATAACTTCGAGAAATGGCTAAGTGAAATCTCGAAATTCCGAAGTGCGATTTCAGTAGCGAAATCCCGAACGTATGTTCGGATATAATTTCGAAAAACGACTAAGTAAAATCCCGAAATTCCAAAGTGCGATTTCGGTAGCGAAATCCCGAATGCACGAGTGGATATAGCTTCGAGAAATGACCAAGTAAAATCCGAAAATCCCGAAGTGCGATTTCAGTAGCGAAATTCCGAACATACGGTTGGATATAATTTTGAGAAATGACTAAGTAAAATTCAGAAATCCCGAAGTGTGATTTCGGTAGCGAAATCCTGTATGTACGTATGGATATAATTTTTCGAGAAACAACTAAGTAAAATCCCGAAATTCCGAAGTGCGATTTTGGTAGCGAAATCCCGAACGCACATGCGAATATAACTTCGAAAAACGGCTATGTAAAATCCTGAAATCCTGAAGTATGATTTCGGTAGCGAAATTCCGACGCACGTGCAGATATAACTTCGAGAAATGGCTAAGTAAAATCCTGAAATCCCGAAGTGCGATTTCAGTAGCGAAATCCCGAACGCACGTGCGGATATAACTTCGAGAAATGACCAAGTAAAATCCCGAAATCCCGAAGTGCGATTTCGGTAGCAAAATCCCAAACGCACACCTGGATATAATTTCAAGAAACGGCTAAGTAAAATCCCGAAATCCCGAAATGCGATTTCAGTGGCGAAAATCCCGAACGTACGTTCGAATATAATTTTTCGAGAAACGACTAAGTAGAATCTCGAAATCCCAAAGTGCGATTTTGTTAGCGAAATCTCAAACGCACGTGGGAATATAACTTCGAGAAATGACTAAGTAAAATCTCGAAATCCCGAAGTGCAATTTCGGTAGCGAAAATCCCGAACGTACGCCTGGATATAATTTCGAGAAACGGCTATGTAAAATCTCGAAATCCCAAAGTGCGATTTCAGTAGCGAAAATCCCGAACGTACACCTGGATACAATTTCGAAGAACACTAGATTGGCTTTAGAGAGTTGTTCATCACGTTAATGGACATTTCGGGTTTCAAAAACCATGAATTCGTAACCATGGATTCTGTCTTCATGAACACAAAGCACGAATTGAGGTTTAAAAACCACGAATTCGCTAACATTTTGTTTACAAGCTTCGCTATCCAGTTCAGCGAATTTTCTGGGGTCCATTAACCACGAGTGCATATCCCACCGGAGGCAGATAGAGGTGAGGGGGTGGCTGAGGCAAACTTTGGGTGGAACTGGATGCCTTAGTGGAAGTGGGGGGACTGCAGGGGCTTCACAAGGAGGGAGGTGATTGCCCTGAAGGGAGACAGGGCAGATTTGGGGGGATGCTTTATTCTGGGGCTAGGGGAGATGTATGGGTCGGCATCATATCCCAGCAGAGGCCGATAAGGGCAAGGGGTTGGCAGAGGCATACTTTGGGTGGGAACAGGATGCCTTTGTGGGAGTAGGGTGGGGAGATGGGTCTGTCCCAAGTTGGGGCCGATGAGGAGTGCTCGTGACCAGGGGCGGTTCTTTTCGGTGGAGGCAGCGATGGGGCAGGGGGATGAGCGGAAAAGGGGGAATTTCTATATCCTTTGCTTGAATTTGGTTGGGAACTTTTCTGATTCTTCTTGGAATATTCAAAACAAGCACCATTGTTATTTCCTGGTAGTTTGAAGAATCTCTCAAGACTCTGAGAGACTATTGGTGGTTTATACCTACGTAGCACCGTGTTCGTGTTCGGAGTCGAACGCGAACATGTTCTCCCGAACGCGAACAAGCGCTCAAAACCCTCCGAACCGAACATAAAAAAAAAAA